GCGCACCAGTGAGTCTCATGATGTAAGCAGTAGTGAAGACGAGTTTCAAATAAACATTTATACAGACAGATTTAGCAAAATAAATAAGCAGAAGAAGATAATAGTAATGATAGTGATGATGATATTATCCAACAAAAAAACGAAGAAATTTTATAGATAGTGATAGCGATACAAGTAGTGTAAAAGAAAACATCTCCTTAGAAGACGTATCAAGTTTCCCTATATCATTGAGCCATACACGTGTACCTTTGTTCCACTAATTCTACATATTACTCAAGAGTACACATCTACTCAACAAATTAGAGAAGTGTATAGTCCGTCGTGAACGCACTTCGCACGTTCTTTTTCGACGTATAAAACCGGTTGATTTATTTATTATGCATCTTGATAATTTTATCATATTTTGATTTGTTTTTTGTGCCATTTTAATAGAAAACTACAGGAAAACATGTGTTTCTTAAAAAATTGCGATAGAATAAGTTCATTCTCCGTAATCGCTAATAAACTTTCATGTCCCAATTCGACCAAAACCGACGAAACATCACTCTCGACGATCATATTTTATTTTTAATAAAATTTTTGATACATCGCATGTATTTGTAAGAGTAGATCATATAAAACAACCTCTGGAACAGCCATATGAAGGTCCATATCGCGTAATAAAATATATTTCAGATAATGTATTTCTAAAGCAAATTACAAAGGCTAATTACAAAGGCAAGGAAACTACTATATCGACGGAACGCTGGTTGAATCGGAAAATGAAGATCTGCGTGAGGTCGGCACCAACCGACTGGGAAGATATCTACTGCAACAAATGTTCCAGCATTTTTGGCAGCGTTGCCGAGAATATTTGTACCAGCTACAACAGCGTAGATGGTAATCGGACATATCCGCGAATTGGAAAACGGACACCATGGTGGTTAAAGAGGACCATCTTCCACCCATGCGTCTAAGGCGCATCGTGAGCCTGCATTCAGAAAGAAATGGTCGGACACATGTACGCTGGCAGGGAGAATCGATAGTCGATTTATCGTGGGCATCACCCGCAGCAGCACGAAGAATAACGGACTGGAGAGTGGCGGTGGAGCTGGAGTCGCTCAGCGATCATCTGTACATCGTCATCGAGCTTCACCCCGCCAGGAGATGCGTGAGAAGCCGCCGCCCGCGAGATGGGCGCTAAAGAAGATGGACGTTGACGTGCTGATGGCCGCAGCTCATACCGCAGCATGGGAAGAGCCGCCGGCAGACCCCGCCTGCGACGTCGACAAGGAGGCAGATTGACTTCAGAGGAAGATGATCGAGATCTGCAACGTCGCCATGCCACGCGTCAGACGAACGCACCGCGTCTCGGTCTACTGATGATCGCCAGAGATCGAGCAGAAAAGAATCAGCCGCGCGGTGATTCGTCGAGCGTTCCAGCGAGCGAGGAGAAGGAAGTGCCGAGACGCCGCGAGAGAAAAGGCGCTTTACTTGCGGTACAGGGCGAAGGTAACGAGAGGATGATACGGTCGGCCAAAACTCGCGCGTGGGACGAGCTTATCGGCACGATGGACCGCGACGCCTGGGGAAGGCCATACTGGCTGGTGCTCGGAAAACTCCGATCGAGGAAGCCCCCAGCGACGGAAGCCCTGGACCGAGTGTGACGCCCCAAAATTCCAGATGTAAACCTCATAGACCCTCACCCGTTATCGGAT